GTTTCACTCAAAATATATTCATCGGGGTGCTTTGATGAGGTGAGGGAGAGGGATGTGGTCAGTTTCAAGATACTAAGGGGTTTTATGCAAATTGGAGCAGAGAACTGGGGTATTTTTGCAAAAATGTCGTAAATGACCTCACAACCATTAGATGCAGATCTGATGGTTAGAAATAACAAATGGCAGACAGACCATCATCACTAACTGAGTCTTCTATAGGAGTAGAGATTTTATCGAGCTACCAATATATTATTCATATAAGGGGTGATATGTCAATTCAATATTGTGGGATGCAAAATAAGTCCTTCATCTAAACAAATGTAAGCAAATTATGCAGTACCCACGAAAAGAGAATCAAAATAAAGTGCAAAACTTTGGCATATATAGTTTTAAAAATGGAACATCTGCATAATGAGATAGTTGGCTCTTACATTAACATTATTTGGATCACCCCTACATCCCGTTACCAGTTCCGTGATTATAACACCCAAACTATACATGTCAGCCTTTTTTGACGTCTTGCCACCATTCACGTATTCTGGAGCACAGTATCCCCTACAGAAGAAATGCCATATTGATGCATTATATCATCAAGAGACTTGTAAACTGTAAATTCCACAAAAAGACAATATGTTATATTGATGCATGGCTTACTGTGTTATAAAACGGGCACCACTGGTGTGTGTGTGTTTATCAAGTCTTGATAGACCAAAATCTGTTATCTTTGGCACCATATCATCATTTATCATTATATTGCTAGGTTTGAGGTCCATATGGATAATATTATTTTCCTCGTGAAGGTAATGCAAACCATGACAAATTCCTTTAATTATTTCATACCGTATACTCCATTTAAGTCCTCTTAATTCATCTGAACATGAAAAGGGGGGAAGTGAAGTAGGAAGAATAAAATATTCAAACAGACATGCTAAACTGTATACTAAGGAGTGTAGAACATTTTAATGGAAGTATGTCCATAAGAATTTTTCAACCCATGGAATTAAATGTACTAGTAAGCAATGTTGAGGAAATCGTTAACTCGTAGCTGCTCGGTTGGCCGGTAAGTAAGGGATTAATAGGCTAATCGGCAAATTAATCCATTAATTGGATGATTTATTAGTTTATCGGCCACTCGGTGACCCTACAAGTAGGGATTAACGACAAGTTAATTGGTTAATCAGACAAATTCTTGAAGAGCGCTAGTAAGAGAGAGAAATTATGAACTAAATGAAGATCTGCATGAAATGTATCTTTGTCATACCTGTAATATGTTTATCAAGGCTTCCATTGCTGATATACTCAAAACAAAGTAATCTTTCTCTTATCTGGGCCATAACCAATTCTGTTGATCCTGCCTCTTTTATCGCTTCACGATGTGTATTTGAACAAAAGCCAAGAAAGCGGACTACATTTCGATGGCTAATAATCTTCATCAAGCTTTTAACCTCACGATCAAATAACCTGTCGTTGATTGTGTGTTCACTCATAATTATCCTCTTCACGGCAACAATCCTACTGTGGAGCACACCCTATCCGTAAGCATTTAAATGTGGTCATTCTCAGCCCCCTCACGCCAAAACAAAGACCTATTGCACTTATTAATGGAAGTAGTAATATTTTATCAACTTCAGATCTTTAATAACATACTCCCCCCAAAACAAAATCTTACCTTGTAAACCACCCCAAATCCGCCCTCGCCAATTTTTCTCATTTCAGAGAAATTTTCTGTAATCTCCTGTAAAAGTGCTAATGCCAGATTGGTTGGTTTCTCAGATCCGGAGAGTATGCGCTCCAGGACAATTCCATCCCCCATTTTAAGTGCAAGGTGCTCTTGAAAACTAGAAAAAGCACAAATTAGTCTCCTTGAGACATGCTTGCACTGCATAAATATACAATAAGTAATTACTTACTGTTGGCTTTATAAGCTAGGATCAAACTCACGTGTAAGTATGATCCTCGGCTACACGGGCGCGTACTACTCCAGGAAGAAGTCATGGTTCCAAGGCAAACAAGTCCGGCAACGGCGGTTCCAAGACAAACAAGAATGGCGACAAGGTGAAGAAGGGTGGCAAATCAGCGACTATTGGTGGAGGAATGAGAGAAGCGCCAAATTATCATCGCACTGCAACATCCCCATCTAGAACCCGATGTTGACCTACACCAACTGTGGCGTGTGGCAGGGAAGATGAAAATTATTCTCTGAACCCTACAAGTGTAGCAGGCAATCATGGACAACGACGTAACCCAGTCTGTGTTGATGACATTGGCGGAGTTCGTGGCGGCAAGAGAGACGTCGGACACATGCATGAGAATTGGAGAAGATCGCGTCATGAAGGTTCTGGCACAAGTACTCAAGAGGCAATTTCACAAGCTACAGATGGAGGAAACTGAATCCATGAACGACTATGCCATGTGTCTCATTACCTTGGTGGGAACGATCCGCACGTTTGGTGGAAAGCTCGAGGTCGGGATTGTGGAGAAATTTTTATGTTCAACGACTGATAAATTCACATACATCATCTGCATGCTCGAGCAGCTATACGACATCGCGGACATGTCCATAATGGAGGTGACTGGACACCTATGGACATGCAAAGAGATGCACGTGGTTGTCGAAAAGGTAAGGGAGAAGGTGTTGACCAACTCCTATACTAGTGCACAGATTGGGAGTCGCCAAGTAGCAAATGAAAGCATGACAGCTGCGAAGGCTCAAGTAACACAAAGCACGACAGATAGACCAGAAAAGGCAAGCCACAAGGTTGTGGTAAGGCGTGCTGATCTAATGAGCGAGAGCCACGTGACTTGGATATGTCCAAGGTCGAGCGCTATCACTTCAACGAGATGATGAGTCACTTTGCGAACGATTGTCCGTAGCCTAACAATAGGGAGATCAAGAAAATTTGGTGTAGCGGAAAGATGAACTTTTAGGTCTTCTCATGGCTGACGTTTTCGACCTTGCCCAATCCGTGTTTGTGAAACCAAACCAGAACGTGCCACTTCATCACAAGAAAATAATACCAAAATTATCCAAAAACTAGAACACGTTGGGTAACTACACGGGTGATAGTAATCACATGACGGGGTGCAATGAAAAATTCCTCGAGCTAGAATACGATGGTGAAGGATATGTAAAATTCAGTGATGGTTTGGTTGTGGAGATTTGCGATAAAGGTTCTGTCCTCTTCGAGGGTCTCACAGGCAAACATCGCATACTCACCTGAGTATACTACATCCCTGGGTTCGCAACAACATCATCTCTGTCAGAAAACTTGAAGAGAATGGATGCCAAGGTGGATATTTAGAACAAAGTAATGACGATCTTTGATAAGGTCCGACACGTGCTAGCACGTGTAAATCGCACGTGGAACAGGTTCTACATCCTCAATCTTGCTCAATCTCAACCGTAGTGTTGGTTCATCAAGAGTGATGATGACTCCTGGTTATGGCATGCTAGATTTTGACACGTTGACTTTTACGCCTTGAAGAAGATGTAGAAAATGAAGATGGTACATGTGATGCCATTTATCGACATGTTGATCGAGTATGTGACGGGTGCTTGGTTGGAAAACAACATCGAAACAGTTCCCTGCCTAGTCTACCTATCGTGCGAGTGTTGCACTTGACCTGCTCCATGATGATCTATGTGGCCCTATCACCCCAGTAACTCACACAGGAAAGAAGTATTTCTTTTTTTTTTGATAGATGACTATTTGAGATACATGTGGATCATTCTCGTACGACCTAAAGATGAGGGGTTTGAAGCTTTCAAGAAGGTGAAGGCTACAACAGTGATGGAGCACAAGTTGATGGTTCAAGCTCTACGCACATATCACGATGGGGAATTTATGTCTGGATGATTTCAACGAGACAACGACTACTGTGATAAGATTGGAATAAAAGATTCCACACGGCACCTTATATGCCACAGCGGAATAGTGTAATCATGCGTGTGTAGTACAACCAAAAAGTTGTGGTAGCACCCGGGGGTCCCGACCCCCTTTATCTGGTCTGTTGAGCCTTGATGAGATTCGTGGATGGGTCTGTCGAACAGCATAACATTTGCTGGGGCAGCGAATTAATCCAGTCCATTCTGACTGAGCTAAGAGCATCTACAGTTGCCATGGACATATCCGGTCCCTCAAATGCTCGCGGACCTGTCCGGGCGCGTCCTGGTACAGTAACCAGTCACGCCTTAAATAATGCAATCCATATCCAGACTTCTCAATTATCATATTTCAAATACATACAAACTCATGCAACTACGTCGATGCATTTTACACACATCGTCCGGCCACACCGTCAGTACTAACATGCCATCGGACTACTAAAATTTGGCATGTTTGGGTATGGTGGAGATCATCCACGACTGCCCTTGCCCTTCCCGGAGCCCTTGCCGTCCTTCTCGCGAAAGTGTCGGTCGAAGTCACAGTAGGGATCGAGCCGAATCTGCTCGTCGTTGGAGTTGTCCTTGTCGTCGTTGTCCTCCTTCCCCTCCTTCGGTGGTAGTCCGGCCTTGGCATGGACCGCCCGATTCTGCTCTCAGGTGAGGGCATGCATGTTCCTCCGTTGTCATTTCTTCACAATACAGACGCGGATGGCTTCCTCTGCTGCGGCCGCCCATGCCGCCGTATCAGCCGCCTCCACTGCCGCCATTTCCGCCGAGATACGGGCCTCGGCGACCCTTATCCTCTCCTTCCTACAGTGGGCTGTCGTTCCCGGTTGGACTCATAGTCTGCCCGACGGGTGATGGGGAAGGAGAGATTTTTCGGCTGCCGGGACCGCGATGATCCAGCCCTAGAGGAATCGAGCACCCGTTGAGCCCACGATGTGGAGTCGCGAAAGATCCGTCCGTCGGCCGCGCAGTGTCCTCCCGGGAGCGGGGAGTGCAATGCAGACCACCATTGCCTCCTCCAACCCGCATGGGATGACACCCCAGTCGACGGATCCAGATTGGTCGGAATCAGATCTGTTGTCCGTCATGTCGGAGACGGCCGGAAATCACTGAAGGTGAGCTCGGGTGGCGGAGAGAGTGGAGGGGAGAGGAGTGTGAAGTGGGTAGGCTTTGGTCCGATGAGCAGATGGATACGAATATATATGAGGTTGGGTGGGCTAGCATGGGCCGGATCCGACATGCCGGATGCGCATGGGCGCGTCCGGGAGGTTCATATCCGCTCATATTTTGGTTGGATATAAGAGGTGCCGGTCAGTCTGTGCGTTTGTGGCGTACGTCTGGGTCAAAATTTTATGGCTGGTCTGAAATGGGGCAAGCCGCTTAAACGTTTGAGGAGGGTTCAAGGCGCCCGGCTGTAGATGTTCTAACAGCGCTGCTCCTAGCGACAAGTAGGGCATAGGGGTGGCAGGTATATAGCAGGTCTGCCGATTACTGTTCAGAAGACCACTCATTGTTTTCGTAAAGGAGAAATGACCACTCAGAGGCGCTGCATGTGAGAGGATAATATCAGGTTGAGCGAGTGGCCTGAGATGTTTGATTTTGACATACAGATTCCCACGGCGAGCTCAGTATTTTTAGCTATCCTCCTAGAGAAGTATGGATACTCGATGTAACAACTGAGTGTATCGAACTTTGCAATTTTGTGAGATGTTTGAATTCTATCTAAGATATACTTCCTCATCAATTTTTTGCATTCTCTCTATGTGAATAGCATCGATAGATAGGCGTTAATTGTAGGCCAAATTCTTGAGAGATTAAACTTAGGTCGGTATTGAAGTCCTACTGTCCTAGAGAATCAGGTGCATACGGAAATATATTAAACTAAATGGTCACTTCGGCGGATTGAACCACGGGCCGACAGGTCAGTCCTGATATCGACATGAGCCACAGGCCCGACGGGTGACACATGCAGGGGATTCCGCCGGCACACGAACAGTGCTACGCTAGGCTCAGTTGTATTTAAAATACTGTCATGCTCACGCGCTTAGAGAATATACATCTTCAAAGCCGAAGAAACCTCCTGTAATCGATAATGTAGATGACAAAACTTTACGTCTCCATCTTTAGAAGATCTGAATACAACACCTGGGGTTCTAAATTTGCATCACCTCCAGGAGATGTAAAACTAACTAGCGCGCGCCAACCGCCTTACCGCTTTCAGTTTTGTTCTGCCCGCCGCCTCCATGGCTGCAGCCGCCCACCCCGCCACGGCCTTCACTGGGTGACCACCATCCCCAATCCTGCCGCCGTCGCAGCAGTTTTGCCCCACCCCGTCCGGTGGCCGTCGCGGCTGCGCCGCCAGCGGGTCGGCAATCCGCGGTGGAGGGGTGAAGCGGTCGGCGACGCGCTACCAGGCGGAGAACCCATCTCGGCTGACCAAGAAATCAAAGGCGGCCGCGGCTCCGTCGGTCGATTCACCGCTGTTGATGGTCGCGGCATCTGCATCCGATCAAGGAACCCCTACTCCACTCGCCGTCGGCCATGGAGGAATACGTGGTCACACCCACGGTCACCGCATCCAACATGTTCGACGAAATGTCCAACAATGGTGACAGAAATGTCCAACAGTGGATGTACAGTAGCCGCGCAGCCGTCGGCCGGTTTTACATCTTCATTTGCAGCATTTATTGGAGTTGGTGTTTTACATCACCAATATTCATCGTCTGTTGGAGTTGCCTCCTTTTTGGAGATGTAAAATGCACTTTTTGAAGATATAAATTTACGTCTTCTAGTTTCATATCTCCAAATTTGTATCATCTATTGGAGATGCTCTTAGTATTGCAGTAGTCTGCTAAGGGCATTTCTGACAGCGACCCGTAAATTTTCTCCCGCATCTGTCCACGGACAAGGGATCAGTCCAA